GATATCTTGTAGGGAAAACTGACCCCTAAGAATAAATAAATTAAATAAAGCTCTTCTCTACAGAGGCAAAGATGAAGTACTTTAATAATTACTTTGAAATCAATCTAATAAAATAAATTATTTAAGTTGTGTGATTCAAAAGCATCTTAATCCCTCAAAATCATGTGAATTCCACTATAAAGCCATAAGCTGAGATGGCGTTTAACATTACTGTTACTGTGCTAACCTAACGCTACCTTAGCTGTTTTTACTGACTGTTTTTACATTTTACTGCCGGTCCTTATTTATGTGGGCTGACAAATTAAATGACCAAGATGGCCGTTCCTCAGAACTACAGGAAATGGCAAACATTAGTTAGATTAGCTTTGACCAAGGATAGCCGTGGCTATCTCTTGCCAGCTAGCTTCAGCTAATGTTAACTTGAGTTAGCTTTCTAGTTTAGTTGGCTTTTTGGTTTCTTCTTTAGATGTGTTTTGACAATTTTATATGTTGCCTTATTTTTAAATAATGTATTTTGACCTGAGATTAATTTACTGTAAGCTTCAGATTTTTTTAAATAGCTTTTTTTAGGACAATAAAGTCCTGTAATGTACTACTATTACATAATAAGTCTTTCTCTCCATTACCAGCTCACTGCCGTACAGGTGAACAGACATTAAAGTGAACATAGACTGAGAAATGAGATAGATTGATTGATTCAGTTTACTCTAACAGAGTATCTGGTCTGTCTATGTCCGACCGTTGCTGTGCCAACAGTAGACCTTGAGCCGATCACAGTGACAGAAAAAGGCTTTTATTGACAGTTTAATTGCTTTGCACACTGTTTTCAAGTTTACCTCATTGATTGTCTTAGAGGTTGCATTCTGCAGTCACACAACTTAGAACTACCATGTACTTTTAATGGAGTACAGAGAGTGTACTCGAGTACAGTTTTAGATACGGGTGGTTTGTATGAGAATTGCCTTTTTTTTCCTGCTCTTATTTTACTTTTAAATTGTATTTTCAACTTTTAATTTCACTATGTTTTTTGTTTGCTGTAGTTATTTTACAGATTCATTAAGCTCTCAAGTGCTAATAGTACGTTTTCTATACTAATGTTGAGTTTCAGTACCATACCAAAACAGTACCTGCTCTGATAAATGCAAATATACAAAATCCGTTTTTCATTTCATAAACGACAACCTAATTGCACAAGGACTTTACCTACATAAAATAGTCTAAAAGTGGCAAATTTTAGATATACATTTTGGTATTTAGCTAATTTTTATAAGCGGCACGAAGGAAACGTGCCTAGTGGCTCATAATATAAAGAGATATCTCCAAAATCTGAACTTTTCAAAAACTTACTTACTAGAACATTATTTTCAATCAATAACACAATGCATTTTGGACTATAAATCTACCAACGTTTTCTTATCTTTAATTAAAATGAGCAAAAAGAGCCCCAAAAGTTAAAATGAAAGATTAAAAAAGTTGCCTAAACATTTAACATTTAATTTTGTTTTACATGTAAAGCAAAAACTATTTGAAACTAATAAAAACTAATATATGAAAAAGAAGAACATATAATCATTCATCTGTACAATGTCTATCTTTGATACTGGCTGTACTTATGTGACGCTTTCAATCACTTGTATTGGAGAGAGGGTTTTTGTGTTGACGTTGCCAGATTTGATTACTTCTTCCACCTGTACTTACTCATAATTTAATGTGACCCAGTATGACATGTCAACATACTGTAAGACTGAGCAAATCTCCATGGAGGTCTTATTTATTAGTCTGTAATCATAGATGTGTGTGTGTGTGTGTGTGTGTGTGTGTGTGTGGGCCAGCGTGTCTGTACCTGGCCACTGCATGCGATGGCAGATTGTAAAGGTAAACCACTGTAAGCTGCGATGGTGCTTTTTCTCTTATTAATGCGGGGGACACAGGAGCTGTCAGTGCTGTTGTTCCGCTGCTGGTGAAATAGTAATGAGTGTGTATAACGGTGCTGAGCCAGTGTGGTTTACAGCTCTGTTGCACTTGGAGGCGAGGCCAGGGCACATGGAGCACTAACTGGCTGTACATCATGTCTGTGTGGCCGGTGATGAAGACAGAACAAGAGGCTTCGGCCATCGCTGTGATAAAGCTAATTTAGAGACTTGAGGTCAGACTCTTTTTATATCTTTGGTTCGGACATGTTTAAGAAGTGGTCTGGAATTTTTCTTGACCATCTAATACATCTGAGTAAGGATTAATATCTGGTTGTGGCTATTGTTTAGATTAGACAACCTATATAAAGGCTTGTAGTAAGTTAGATTAGGTTATGATTCATGGGCAATTTGTGGATGTAATTAATTTTTTTAAACTAGATCTTATATTAAGAGATGAGACGATGATGGAAAGATGATGGATTTTGACACTGACCTGTGAAACACTGTGTGGAGGCTGAAGTTGCCAACTATTTTGATAATTGATAAATTGGTAATTTTTCAAGCAAAAATACCAAACTTTCTCTGGATTCAGCTTCTTAAATCAGCATATTGTTCTATTTTATGTTTTCTATTTTTGTAGATTAAATAGTTTTTGGCTTTTTGACTGTTGGTCAGACGAGACATTTGGAGATGGCACACTGTGCTCCAGTTTTTTTTAACCTTTTTCACTGGCTAAATGATTGTCAGATTATTATTAAAGTAGTTGCATCCTTAGTGTGAATTTCAGATTCAGTTCATATTTTGAGACAATCGTTTCCCTACATAGGAATATATATAAAATGTTACCCTCCACTGATACTGTGTTCTTAACTTCACTTTGCTTGGAATAGTTTCTGATTTATTTGACAAAAATGTCCTTTATGATCGATGTACTTTAGTTACATTACATATAAATCTTAAATGAGGATTGTTAGTTTGATTCTACAGACTTTCTAATAAGAATAAAACCATAACACAATGTTAATCACTCATTATGTTGCAGCTGTAAACAATCTAGTGATTGGTGATTGTTAAAGACTTCAATCACTTCTGTGGCATAACAAGCAGTGGTATGCTACAGAGTATAGCATTGACCAGCACACCGCATATTAACACAGTCGGAAGCAAACCAAGGCACAGAACAGCATCACCTCAAGTAGTCAGGCAGGTGGCTTGTCCATGTAATTGCGGCAAAAATAAATATGGCAGATGTTTGGCTCAGCAGAGGTGAGTTAGGAGGGCCCGAGAGGCCATGATGATCACAAAATAACTGTTTTATAGTCTTATTATAATGAGCTTTGCTTTTACTTTGTGATTTATCTCGTGATCAAAAGAAAAAGGGTTTTTTTTTTCATCTCAAGCGATGACTGATAGGAACATAATGAATGTTTCACATACTGTACTGAAAGGCATTTTCTACCTGAGAAAGCTGTCATCAAAGTAGAAAATGAATACACTCAGATTTCAGCTGCCCTGCTTGTTATTTGAAACTTTTAATTAAAGCTGAATTAATTCAAATATTTTTAGCGAAATTGAAGGATGGAAGACATATGATGAGAGAAAATTTAAAGCCAGCTCTCACAAACGTAGCCCTGGCTCACTAAAACATCTGTGGGTTTTTGATATGGAACCTGTGATTCATATTCATGCATTATTTGTTAGATAGATAGTCCTCACAAATCAACACTGCTTTGATGAGTTTAAAGTAAATGCAATCAATATTTGTTAAAAGCACTACCCCTAGGATAGCCTTTTAAAAAATTAACTGCATATTTAAAACACTGGAAAGCCTCTTCAGCTTCCTTCTAAGTCACTGATTCTGACTAATTTTGGTTTTACAGGATCCTTTGGCTATGTCTGATAATATCCTTAAATTGTATCACGACTATGTATCACATTTAGTTCAGGGTTTCATTAAAAATACTTAGTTGGAGTGAGTTGCTCACTAGTTTTCATAGTACAATGTGCCTTTGCTTGTTTCCATATAAGCTCAGAGGCTTGTGATCTGCTGACCTTTGGAATTTCAGCTATAGAGCGGAGCTAGATGTCCTCGCTAAGCAAACAGCTCAGGTATTTGAATTCCTTGCTCCTATGGATACCTAATGTCTCACTCTATCTCTCTTCGCCAATATTTAACTAGAGCTGTATATTTGGGAATGCCCCGGCTGTGTTTTTGTGCGTGTACTGTGTACATGTTTACAGGAGTGTGTCTTCAGCGGCATGGCAAGAATAACAATTCCGGTCTATACCCACTCCTGTTCTTTTCAGATCCAGAAGAATGCTTGACATTGTGTCCATTTTGGACTTTGCATCACAAAGGTGTAGTTTAAAGAGATCCAACAATCCGCCAACTACACTCACCATTCCCCAATGTCAGTCCCATTAGAGCCAGCATCCTCGGCCATCTGCACCGTGACTCATTTGACTGTCATTTCACGCCATTTATAGGCTGTGTTTGGAAGTCTCCCCCTCAGCCTCGCCCCGGGATACCAGTCCTCCTCCTCTGGTGTCCCCTGCTGGGGTGTGGCTTGAGGATGGAGAGTGGACAATGCTGCTCCAATATCCCAACCCCCGACCCTCCATGCATCATTACATTCAGCACTACTCCCCCCCTGCCGACATCATCATCTTCCCCAGAGGTTTAGGCTTTTAACAAGAGGATGGGGTGGAGCATCTGTTCCCCAAGCCTTTCCTTTCACCCGCAGGCCCTCCCTCTCAATCAATCACTTTTGATATACCCCCCTCTGGTTGCGGTCAGTATCAATCTCTGCCATTAACACTCACAAACACACATACATACAGACAGACACAGCAGAGTTGCACCCCCCTTTTCTCTCCAGTCCCAGTCTCCAGATTAACTGGTGACTCAGCCGTTCAGTCAATTTTCTTTAATGTCACCCTGAAAATGATGCAGATGGCATTACCTATGTTGGTGCTCCAAATGTGCATTTTAGACACAATGCAGCATCTTCCTTCATGCCATTTTTCAGTCTCCACAAAGTTTAACTTGTCACTCACTTTATCCCTGCTCTGTGTGTGTATATGCAGGTGAGAAGCAAAAAGGAGCCAAACCTGAGCCCAGATCGCAGTCTGCAAAACCTGTGAGATGCTCAGAAACCACCTGACAGGTCAGTACGTGTATGCACACGCATACAAAAGCCTGCACACAAATGCAAAAATGTGTAGAGAAGTTGAACGGCTGAATGAAATGGTTTTACTTCAGCTCATTCTGGAGTGTGAGAGATTGTGAGAGACATTAAATGACCTTTTGAGGAGAGTAAAGAATGGTTCTTCTGACATTCTGTCTCTGACCTTTTTGATTTTTCTCCGACTGTCATAGTCCTTCAACTCTGAACAGCTTAAACTTTCTTATTCCCCCTTGAGTATGGACTCCTGTCAGGTGGTTTGATTTGAGATTCGAGTGCTCATCATCATGAAAAGCTTGGCAAAATAGTCAAATTCAGTCGTACAACAGTATATGACCAATGGTTTTCATGCGTATTTCATCAAATACTAAAGTCTGACAGTTTACAGTAGACTAGTTATTAGCTTATGAAGAGAAAGAACAGCTGCGCAGATAATTTACACCCTGTGGTGAAAATCACAAGGTTAATCATACTAATTTAATTTTTATTTAACTACAGAAGCAGGTCTGAACTGTGTGTGCATGTGTGTGTGAGCCGGATGTGACCTTGGCCAAATTATAAACTACATTAAAGAGAATTTTCACAAAGAAGGGATTGGGTTATTTGGTTTTATGTATGGATTAATTAGTGACTAATGGCTTTATTAATAGGTAATATGTAATTTATGCTAATAATTTATGAGTCATAAGTCAAAAGTGTCGTCCTAGAGGAGGGTTCATTGGAACCAAAGGGATTTTACACAACCTTACCTTGTTGTAATGGATGCCTTATATCTATAAAGCATTCCTAAATGTATTTACCATTAATAAAGTTATTTGTTACAACATGTCATCATCAATCATTGTTCTACCTGTAATTACCTGCTACATAGAAACAGTTCACCTGAAAATAAAATTTGACATTGTTGTTATAGAGGATTCCCTCTGTGGTGCCACACTGGACTACAAATTAAGATCCTTAATATGGTTTGTACAGTGTTTTTTGTTGTATTTAGAGCTGAAACGATTAGTCGAGTATTTGATTTGATTTGACAATCAATTAAGTTATTTTTCAGACAGAAAATACCAATCTCTTCTCTCTCCTTCCAGCTTCTCAGTTGTTAGGATTAGCTGCTTTTCTCTGTTGTGTGTGTGATAGCAAAGAAGAAATTGAACCTTTGGGTTTTAAACTGTTGGTTGGAGAAGAGATGTGGCTTTAGGAAATTGTAAGGACATTTTTCATGTTATTTTTAGTCACAAATGGATAGCCCATTCTGGAATACTTGTTACAGTGTGTAGTCATATGTGGGATGTTGATACAACTGGCTTGGAGAGAACTGATTACTGATTTGGCACAAAGGGATTTCTCTTGTGCAGAAACGGCCTGTCCTACTTACAGAGACGCCACCGCAGCCTAACCTGCTGTTCCCAGCTGGTTCTGCTTTGAAATACATCCCCCCTCTCCTCCTCCCTTCTCCTCTTCATCTCTCTTTGCTCCTCCTCTCAGAGTCTGTGCAGAAGGCTCCACCTCTCCTGCTACCCCCCAGCCCCCCCTGCCGTCCCCTCCTCCTCTGCTCTTTGAGCCGCGTCCTCTCTGCGTCAGACAGCTCCATTCATGAAAAGTGTGACGTGAGCAGGTCTTCAGCGACCCGGTGACGCTCCCGGCCACCCACTCACAGCCCAGGTGCTGCGGGAGTTAGAGGAATGCCTGTCATTCTCCAGCCTCTGTCTCCCCCTCTCCCTGCTTTTCATGTTGTTTTTCTCCATCCTGACTGTCAGCTCAGTCTTTCTTCCCCTGGCTTTTTTTTTTTCTATCCGTCCCTGCCTCTGAGCTGAGAGAGGACCATGAATCTGAGCTCTGTCTGCTGTGAGTAATCTGCTGAAGCTGTGTCTTTGCCGAGTGGAAGCTGGTGTGATGTGGAGGTACTTCTCCCGCTTGTATGTTTGTCTCTGGTGTTTTTCTTTGATTTTTCATGTGTGTATGTCTGCAAGGAGACATTCAAATGTGTGCATAATGTGTGTGTTGTTTGTATGTGGATCAGCTGTCAGTGTTTGTTCAGTAGCAGTGCTGCAGGAGTGTGTTGAGTGGTCATGCGTCGGTGCGTGCAGGAGCTATTTTAGGCTCAGCGGTGATGCTGCTGCTGCTTTTTGATGCAGTACTTCTCGGTGCCCTCTGAAGGACAGGTTGAGATGTAGGTAAAGGTATAGACCAACAGAACTAACCCTCAACCTTGTGATGTAGCAGCCAAATGATACTCTGAGGCATTATAATGCTGGTGGTTCACAGATGATGAGACTTTTTTGGGGACACACGCACAGCCACGGTTATTTTACTATGTTCATACACACAAATCACATTCACTTTCCTTTTGCAGTGTTTTATTTGGCCTTATTTAACTCTACCTCCGTCTTTGTCCATGTTCCCCCCCTGCCTGCTTTACCATCTGACTTTTCTCCCCCACTTTGCACCTTCATCCATCTCTTTATTCACTCAGATTGGCAGCAGGAAAGCTCTGTGTGTGCCCACCTCTGTCCTCTGCTACTAAGCATGTTTATGTAACTGCACTGGATGAGTAGCCGGCAGCCGGGCTTTAAAAGAGAGGAGGAGGAGGAGGAGGAGGAGGGGAGAGCTCCATCCATCCATCCATTCTCCACAGAGCATTTAAAATAATGGCTGCATATTCATATCCATGAGGAGTTTGCCATTTGGATTTTTTTCCCTAAAGTGTCACACTTCAGCTGCTTGGGGTAAATAATTTAATACTAAAACATAGCTGAGGTACATGTTGAGTTTTTTTTAAGGGCAAGCAGTTGTAGTATGAACCCAGGAGGTAATCGAAGCACTAATGTGTATTGATTTCTTGGCTTTCTGCTGTGGCAGACTCTGTCTTTAGGCAGAAGAAAAAACATGTAGGACAACATTTCGTCTTGTTAGACTCACATGCTCCATTTTTTATTTATTTTTTGCTCCATAGTTCTGTGTATTTTCATGTTGCAGACATTAAAATGGTGTCAGTCACAGCCAGTCTCCTGCAATATGCGTGTTTGTCTGTTGTGTCACTTTTTGTGTGTCTGTCTCTCTCCCCGGCCCTTGTTGTTGGCGGGCCAGGCAGGCCGTCCCTATTAAAAGAGCACAAGGGGGATTGTTGTGGCAGCAGCTGCTCTGGTGTGCAGTGTTGAGTGTGTTTTTCTGTGTGTGTGTGCTGTCTCCTGGCCGTGTAGGGCAGACAGGCCCAGTTCACATGGAGCCGGCTCCTCTTGTGTCCTTTGTTGTCGCTCTGGGAGTCTTTCCCATTGGAGCGTGGTCGGTACAGTATCACGCCGCAAGCAGCCACAGCAGTGGCAGAAAAGCAGTTTCTCCTTCTCCTTTTTTGTCTGTCCCTCATTCATTTTTCTCCCCTCTCCCTCTTTTCTGTTTCCAGCCGCGAAATGTTCTCCCTTGTTCATAACCCTCCGTATCCTTTTCTGTCTCCCTAATCTGCTTTTCTTCCTCTACTTTTCTCTGAGCTATTCTTTCACTCCACTGTCTCCTTGGCCCCACTGTCCCTTTCTGTCTGTTTGCATTCATCATCTATCTGGATGGATCTGGTTAGCATTCATAAATAGAGCTCTGTAAAGCTTTATCGTTAAGCATCGCTGGGAACAAAGACTCTGCTTGACTGAAAAGGCCAATATTGAAGCTTTTCAGAGCAGAGTATGTGTGATAGTTGCAGGCTTTAGGAGACTGTGTGTCCTGGTTGCAGTTCTGGCTGCAGCCTCACTGAGAGGCTGGGAGAATGAAGCTGGAGGGAGTGTGTGACGCGTCGATGGCGCACACTCTTTTCTTCAGTTATTTATTTTCTCCAGTTCTGGCTGGTACCGGCTGAGGCTATTTGAGGAGCAAGTTATGTGTGTGTGTTTGGAGTGCTAATTATCCACAGCCATGTCAACCCTGTGTTTGAGTGTATACCTCTAGAACGCGTCGGTCAGCTGGACTCTGCAAGTATGAATTTGGTTTGTTGAACCACACAGTCACACGTTGATATTTTGGACTTCAGGAGGAGAAGCCGAGGTGTAGCTGTTTTTGTTTCTTTACACACTCTTTCATCATTTTATCAGTCAACTCTCTCTCTGGCAGTTTCATTCATCCACCTGACTGCCCTCCTCCTCCTCCTCCTCTTCCTGAGAAATCCAGACTTCATAACAAAATCAAGCATATTTCAGATGATCCTACCTGGCACTTTCCCTGTGGCTTCGGCAGGAGCAGCTTTGACCTTGTTTCTATTTGCCCGGCAACACCAGTCAAACCCCTGGCAGGCAGGTAGGCAGGCAGGGATTATTGTTCTATGGCCTGCTTTCCCCTCCAGCCACCACCAGGTATTTAAGTCAGCCCAGGTGAGTCACCAGAGGGAATCAGAATATGAAGAAGGAGGGATTATAGGGAAATGTCAGCCATGTGATGGCAGATGCCTGAACGCTGTGCCAGAATTTGTTTATTTTCCCTTCCACCGCTGTTCCCACACCAGCAGATTATTACTTTCATCCACCTACAGCAGGCTGTCCAATCCCCTCTGGCAGGACTCATGGCCATGGAAGTGAGGGAAAGCTGATTTGACATCAGCCCACATCCCGACAATCAAATCAGGACTTGGGCGGCTCTGTTGGCAGAGTCATATTTCCGAGGTCTCTGTATGTGATGTTCATATTGCTGAATATGTAAGAATTTTGTCTGGCTCAGTGACCAGAGAGAAATCTATGAGCAGTATGTTTCCAGATTTCTGTTTCATAACATTGTTTACTCACATGATGAACATTGGCCATGAAAGTCCATAGTCTGCACTGACAAGGAAACAAGTACAGATACCAGAGTTCAGCTGTTCAACTGTGACCCAGAATAACAGACGGTCACATGTGTAGTTCAGACCACAGAGCCTTCTGAGCTACTGATGATAAGAGGCTCTTGTATTTGTCCAGTCTGCTTTCTTTTTATACTCTAAACTTTTCCTTTATTGGTTACTTTTGGTGCTCAGCGGAGAAGAGTACAGCTCTTATAATCTTGTTTGTTTCAAGAGAAGAGGTCAGTTGGGATAGGAACGGGCTGGAGCAGGACATCTTTACTTCCAGCAATAAGCTCTCAGGTTGGGGCGATGGTGCAAACCAGACTGCTGGATCTGGACAGTATCTGTGAAAAGGTTTGACCCTGGCTCACTGTGTTGTAGTCATAAGACTCTGAAGCTGTTTAATCATATGAATTTCAGATATTTGTATAAATCTGTTATTATTAGGTTTTTAGTATCTGATATGTGGAGAGTTGTACCCATCTACTTTTGAGGTAAAGAGCTATAACATGTACTTTGTTCTTTAAAAAAAGCCCAGTATATTCTGATGAATGCGCTTAATTCCTCACTTTAAAGAAAGCAAAGACCACTACTGTATGTTGTCAAGCAACTTTCCCTATGTGACAGGCTTGGTGGATATAAAAGCATCCTCCAGGCTTTTTGGCCTCTCCAAACCTGAGTGTTGGATGAGAGTGAGTGTGACTGGAAGCAGAAGGTCACGATGGATGCTGTGTTGACATGGTAACGTGTGAATGACGAGGTGGGATAGGGACTAAATTGGTTCTTTGTTGGTAGCGCAGCTGTCACCTAAAGGGAGGTTCCCCCTATGGGGCCCAGCAGGGCTTCCCTTAATGAGGAGCAGAGTGATGGAGACACAAATGACGTTGCGGCTGCTGCTGCTACTGATGCTGCTGTGTGTGTGTGTGTGTGTGTGTGTGTGTGTGTGTGTGTGTGTGTGTGAGCATAAATGAGCACTTCCTGTATATGTTAAAGGTCTCTCTGTTGCTACATTAATATGTTGTGGAAGGTCCAGCTGCTTTTGTGTGGGTAAAGCACGTTGAAACACAATCTAAACAACTGTAATGGCGTTTGCTGAGTGGCACAGAAAAACTCCCCTCCCCAGTGGATTGCTGGGAGTAGTGGGATTATTGGATCCTGCCAGACACGCCCCGGGCATGTGTGTATAGTGTGTGTGTGTGTGTGTGTGTGTGTGTGTGTGTGTGTGTGTGTGTGTGTGTGTGTGTGTGAGCACGTGTTTGCGCTGAACCTGATCTCCCTGCACCACCAGCTGCCATGTACACACACACATGCACACACTGATATAAAGTGTAAACTATACTAGTGAGCGATATTCATCGTCTATAAGTATGTTCATATATTAAAGATGTACCTACCATGATGCATTGTGCTGTTGACCGTAAACATTAGGTTGTCTTTAGAGAGGCAAGAAATAAAAGGAAGTGTGTAGAGGATATATGGAGGGGGGAGGGCTGAATAAGGTCTCTGTTTGTAGAGGGATTAAAGGATCAGCCCGTGATAATTTCTCTAGCCCCCCCCCTTTCTTAATTTCATCCATTCTGCTGAGCATCTGCATTGTTTCTTTCTCTGAAGCGATATCTACTTTATGCAAACATTTTTTCAACGTCAGAGTGTCTTTTGCCAAGTCACGGTCACTTTCGGAAAGTCCTGTAAATAAATGACTGTAAATGAAACCCTGGGCCCTTCTTGATGAGGCGCAGACATTATTCATGGGATTCTATGCCCATAGAGATCTTCCATTAGAGATTAATGGGAAAGAGCGAGAGGTCTGTTTCCTTTTCTTTGTGTCTGATATAGACGCATAGACTCAGTCCTGATTCAGCTTATTAGAAACAAGGAAAGAGACTGGGCAGGGAACACAAATGGGTGAAAATTATAAGAAGTTGAAAGGCATCAGATTTTCTGTCTGACTGTGCTCTGTAGTCATTATTTATGCGAGATAATAGTGCAGTTTTAACTTGGTTATAGGTGGTACTGTGCGTGCAGGCTTGTGTCTCCTTGCGCGTGTTTCTGTCCAGCCGACCACATCAACCCACCATGGCCCACGTCAGAAACCCAGCTCTGAGAATCGTCCACGGGGTGGAATTACAGCACGGGCCTCTACTCGAACAGCTCGATTGTCTCGGCTGTGGAAGGGACGGATTTATTGGATACCTGAGAGAGCATTCTCTCCTTCCCCTGCACTCTCAGCAACCTGCTTAGAGACAGGCCTGCATTATAGATGAGCTTCTGGCAGCCACTACACTCTCACAGCGCTCAGGTTACCCCCCCAGTAGATACACATGGATACAGTACATGCATTCGCACAAACATATAAGAGGCATCTGTGTGGAGCAGCGAACTGGCACGCATACCATGTAACTGTGAGCATCTGCACTTTCTGAGTCCTGTCAGGAACTTTTAATGTGTGCCCTTTCTCGTTCCCCATCTTTTCTTTTCTTCATACTATTGTCAAGTATCCAAAAAGGCAAAATTCTAAATAACAAAGACATGATTAAACACACCCATGCTGGGGTCTGGAATAGGTTTTGCAGCATTTCAGCAGCAGACGTGTCTGCGTCCGAGGGATCAAAGCTTTATTGTGCTTCGACCTATGTTGAGAGGAGGAGCTGTGCATTCATGCCAGTGTTCCTCACAGAGGGCAACATAAACTAAGTGTGTTTTGATTGGACTTCAGGACTGCCCTCTACCCTTCAGAAAACTTCCACGTAACACAGCGCCAGCTCGCTGCTCTGCCACTCTGTCTCCTCCCTCCTGGACTTTGATCTTCTGTTCCCAACTGTACACTCTGTACAGCCTCTCACTATCTCCCACTCGCTGTGTCCCTCACTCTATATTTTCTCCTGCCCCCTAAACTTTGATTGACTTACTAAGGCCTTGTCTTCAGGGGTTGGAGTGTCATTTAAGAAGAAATTGATACACTTCGCTTTGTGCTGCTTTTTTTGTTGTTGCCAAGATTGGTAAACAAGCACAGTCAGACTGGATAAATTGCCATCTGTTTGTATGAAAACACTGTGTATTTTTACAGTTGCAACAAATTACAGACTTTGGCAACCCCCAGTGATAGTGTTGAAAAAGACACTGGCAGAGAGCATTGCACACCAATACACCCCTACGCAGTCTTGTCTGACCCAGGGACAGTGAGATGAAGAGAAAGAAAGAAACACATACTTTAAAGTCCAGTCCAAAATCTTTTGCCATCAGAATAATTTGACGAAAGACGTTCAAATCATGCAAAAATGCTACATATTGTAGTGAGTTTGGTAGATGGACAGGAAAAGGTTTGCATAGTTCGGTAGTTTTTTTAACAACAACTGTAATATAAAACATATTTGGTTCACATTAGACTGGAGATATTCTATATTTGTCTTAACATCCATATATCACATAATAAAACAAAAAACAATACTAATTTGATTCTAACTAGTTGCTACAACTAGTGTTATAATGTTGTCTAAAATATGGCACATAGACTGAATGAGTCACACTGTTGCACTGGGTGACGTGTTTTTTGTAGTTTATTTTGATTAGGTCCCATATACAGCGTCCTGGTGCATTAAAAACCCACTAGAGCACAAAATATGTATTAATTCATGTCACCAACAAATGCATTATTTAATCCTGCTAATGTTTGCTATAAATCTACAGCGGATTTAGGAAATTACTGAGCCTTTTAAAAAATATGTATTTGTGACATGCTGTTAGCTTTTTATCTTTTTAGATTTAGATTTGTACGAAAAATAATAAATACAGAATAATCACTTTAAATATTGATACATTTGTTGTATTATTCAGTTCTACATATTTTAATCTACTAATAGTATTACACAGTTACTGCCAATATTATCATTACGTATAAAAGTGGAAGGTTCTTGACCTTGAGATCAGTATGCATGACAAAATGACTTCCACTCATTCACTGGCTTTGGCTTTGGATTCATTTTATTCTCTACATGTGTGCATATGTGCTAAGCTCATTTGCCATGTTTGAGAAATCAGTGGTGACAACTAGTTTGGAGCAATATGACAACATGTACTTTAAGTTAGGTTTAAATTTGTCAGAGATTTTGCCATGTCATGGAAGCTACGGCCTCAATATCTCTGGATGTATTTGGCCTTTATGAGTGAAGTTGCAAATCTAAGAACAGATCTGGTGTAGGGGCCATTTATAGATTAACTTTTCAAGAAGATTTCTGTATCACAATATCTATAAATGTTGTGGTATACAATGACATCTGTTGTGATAGAGGATTTTCCCCATATGACCCAATCCAAGTAACAACATGTTGCATAATGACCTCTGTGTTTAGGAAAGTTGTGTCCCTTCCCTGACCCTGGTTCAGCAGCGTCTTGTGTAACACTAATAGGCAGATTGAGATAGTATAAATTTTCTCCCAGTTATTCAGTGACTGAAGAAAACTAGTAAGTCTGCTGGGCAGCTGGCTACGGGTCCTTAGTGGCCAATGCCGGCCCTGCTGGTTAAGCAATGAGAATGGGTTGTGTGTGCCAGATGTTTTGCTCTCAGCAGTCCTAATACACACAGCAAGACTTTTAATCCCCGCTATACAGTTACTGCCTCACAGGGAACATACTAAAGCCCCAGTTGTGTATGTGCGATCGGTGTAGTCCAACTGTTTCCCAGAAATTTCACAGAATTGTATTATTTGTATCTAGTCTCTTTCATTCAGCAACCCTGTCTCCTGTGCACTGATTTAAAGCCCATCTGATATTTGTGACCTCCTCCACCCAGCTGTGTTTGCACTTCATAGTTAAAAATAATCATCATTAATGTAAGCCCTCTCAATCCCAGATCTATGAGAGGAAATGAGAGGATTGCATGTCTCTTTGTGGAAGTAAGAGAGCCCCATGGCAACAGTTACAATTGTGTTTATGCCATATAAAAAGTGTCTATAAGCATCCAAATGGATTTAACTCAACTCAATTTAATCTGCATTTCATTTTCTATGTACTTTATAATTTAACTAACCTGCCTCTCTTTTCTTGTTCTTGTTCTCTCCCAATTCTGCAGGTGATTTACAGCATTTAGACAAACCAGTGTGTTAGGACGTGCCCAACTCATCATCACTGGGTAGCCCATGCACATGCATGACACCATGGGTAGCTCCCCCGAGGTGCTATCGTGGACTTCATGCCCCAGTCTGCTGGTGGGCAAGCTAAAGGAGGAGCTCAAACTCACTGTGGTTGGGGACGCCATGAAGAAATCAAACTCGCCCAACTCCCAACCTCAGCCTCCTCAGGCGCCTCCGTCCAATTTACCTCCTCAGATTATCACAGACCTGGCCCCGCCGACACACCTGCCTGTTCCCCTGCAGACACTGCAGACGCCCGGCCAGGACGAGGACTCAGTGCTGGGGGTATAAGTCCCCCCTAACACAGCCTTGAGTGTGGACTCGACACGGAGCGAGGGTGGGCACTTTGACAACAGCGTGCTCCAGCTGCAGGAGCACGACCACGAGGAAGCCGTATCTCCGGCCTCCTGTGAGCACGTTGGGTGTGGCAGTGGGATGGAGGAGCAGACAGGAGAAGGAGAGTGTCCCATTGACCACAGTGGAGAGGGGAGGCAGAGCCACCCCCATCACCCTGATGACATCAAGCTGCACTTCCACAGAGCCGGGCCTGGGTCGGGTGGCTTCTTAGAGGGTCTTTTTGGCTGTCTTCGGCCTGTCTGGAACATCATAGGGAAGACATACTCGACAGAATACAAGCTACAACAGCAAGGTTAGTTCTGGGTTTTTTATTTCTGCATGGCATCAGTTTAGGAAACCAAATACTCTGTTTAATTCAAATATCCTGTAACCATAATTGAACAGCCACCCCTAGCTTCATCATATTGTTGTTGTGGGTGAAGCTGTACAGCTGTCAGTTTGAATTGAGGTCATGGTAAAGGTAGACTCACCTTGCTGCAGGCCTGCCTGTACAGGCTGGACACAGAGGCTACAGGATACGAGTTGAGGTCAGACAGAACTGGGCTGGGTCTTGTGGTTGGTCAGCTAATGTTCAAATGTAGTGGGCTGAAGATTTTCAGCAGCATAGCTTCTCCTGTACGCTGGTTTCAAAACCACATAACGAGGATGGAACAGCATATGACTCACAGTTTGAACGACATTTATAGCAGTTGTGCACATGGCTTTAGATTTATTTTTTGCTCAGTATGGCATATATGAAATATGATATTTAGTTTGAACCATGTTTTGTTTAATTTTATCTGCTGTGCCACAAATCTGTACATTAGAAAGTACGACATTCTGATGAGGATGACTGAAACTGCAGGACATTTATTTTGAAAGTGTTGTGACTGTATTTTTCCCCAAGATAATTTCAATTTTCAGTGGAATAGTTTGACATTTCTATTTTCATTTTCACTTCCTGGAGTCTTGTTGTCCCAGTGAGGTTGCCAGACAGCCAGTGGTGACTCCAGAAAATGTCCAGTCTAGAAATAGTTCAGCACATAAATAGCCGGTTAGCGAGCTTTAAAGGTGCAGGTAAGCAGATTTTGTTATCTTTGGAAAGAGCTAGGCTACCTGTTTCCCTCTCTTTTCCAGTATTTGTGCTAAGCTAAGCTAACCAGCTGCTTGCCATAGTTTTATATTTACCGTACAGACAAGTGTTATCAATCTACTCCTCCAATTCTCAGCAAGAAAGTGAATTAGCAAATTCTCCAAAATGACAGTACAAGAGTATGGGTAAATAAAAACAACACTAAAGACTAAAAACACTTAGTAAGTAACAATATATAGATTTTATTGTGATAAAATATAATTTACTTGTTTCCAGACATGTGGGAGGTTCCATTTGAAGAGATTTCGGAGCTGCAGTGGCTGGGCAGCGGAGCACAGGGAGCCGTCTTCTTGGGCAAGTTCCGCTCTGAAGAGGTGGCCATCAAGAAGGTGCGTGAGCAGAAGGAGACGGACATTAAACACCTGCGAAAACTCAAGCATCCAAATATCATCAGCTTCAAGTAAGTCTACAACCATATGACCTTGTATGTCACTTGATGTAGTCTTTTCAGCTGGTGGAGCGCTGATGGTGTCCAAATGTGAACGGTTTACCAGCATTGGGTTTGTCATTGTCAGTATCCGTTGGTCTGTAAATGTGTTTTTTCTGTGTTTCGTCCAACTTAGGGGTGTGTGCACCCAGGCACCTTGTTACTGCATCATCATGGAGTACTGTGCCCAGGGCCAGCTGTATGAGGTGCTGAGAGCGGGGAGGAAAGTGACCCCCAGGATGCTGGTGGACTGGGCCTCCGGCATCGCCAGCGGCATGAACTACCTACACCTACACAAGATCATCCACCGAGATCTCAAGTCTCCCAAGTGAGTTTCCTCATTTCCTCGTTTAGTAAGATGAGAGTATACTTTTCGGAGACCTAGAAACTGTTTAGTTCTCACCACTGTGTATTCTAAGAAAATGATCAATCTTTACTAAACCTCAAAAAACCACTGAGCAGGAGCCCAATTTACAGTTGTGTTGAGTTACAACTAAAATACAGTTAAATTGAATGAAAATGCATCAGTGTGTAAAGCAGCAAAATTGATGTTTCCTCCTGATCTAGAGGGAGAGTACAGTATATTTCCTTGTTTTGTCACTGTTATGCAGCAACTGATCTGTAAATCTCAGGCAAACAGCTCAGCAGCCTTGTTCAAGATTTCTTAGCCCACAGCAGCAACAACAATTCATCCTTTCATCCCTGAATGGTCTGACATTAACTCAAATACCATTCTCAGAATTAAATGTAGCTACTTGCCTTAATATAAGAGTAAGACACAGTGTCCTGTCTCATCCTGCTCATCCTGTCTCATCCTCTGCACACTGTAGCCCTGTTTCTCTAATCAATATCATCATGCCGCAGCAGTGCCAAACACTGTATTAGTCAGCAGAATGATAGCAGGCTGAATGTGCTGGAAAGGTCAGCCTCATTCGGCTAATGGGGTGATTCAGATGCAGAAATGTGCTTCTGTAACAGTCTTTTAGGCTTTAAAGATTGAAATGCTATAAAAGAAACTCATACCGCTTTAAAACCAGTGGAATGTCACTGGAAAAACTTGGCATCAGTCTGAATGGTTTAACCCGGGTCATTTGACCTGGATAAATGTTGGTCTGACATTGCTTGGCTTTGACATGAGAGGCTGAACATGAGTTTTTATAGTAACACCAGAATTTGCAATACAGCTGTTAGAGATTATTATAGGACTGCTGTAAACTTTTAGGAGATATTTTCTGTTTTGGTCCGCCTAATCAAACAGTCAAACCTTGCTAAAAAAGTCTATATGTCTTCTGTTTGTGTTTGTTTTAGTGTTTTGGTCACCCACAACGACACTGTGAAAATCTCTGACTTTGGAACGTCCAAAGAGCTCAGTGACAAAAGTACAAAGATGTCATTTGCGGGTACGGTGGCCTGGATGGCCCCAGAAGTGATAAGAAACGAGCCTGTGTCTGAAAAAGTAGACATCTGGTGAGTATTAAAATGATGCAAATTACAAATAATATATATTTTTAAGAAATATAGTAAATAAAATGAAAAAGGCCGGTAATGTACAGTTAAAGTCTGAATTTGAAACAGACTGTCTTTACTTCTGTGTCGCAGGTCATTTGGAGTTGTCTTATGGGAACTGCTGACTGGAGAGATTCCCTACAAAGACGTGGACTCCTCTGCCATCATTTGGGGTGTTGGCAGCAACAGTCTTCACCTTCCCGTCCCCTCCACCTGCCCAGATGGCTTCAAAATCCTCATGAAACAAACATGGTGAGTGTGGATCATGTATTATGTCGATATTATGTGAAATATTGTGGTTAAAAAGGTTTAGTGGCAGGTGTATCTCATTTAATCACTCCTCTTCCTCGTTTTTTTGCTGATTCCAGGCAAGGCAAGCCCAGGAACAGGCCTTCGTTTCGTCAGATCCTCCTACACCTCGACATTGCCTCTGCTGATGTCCTAGGAGCTCCTCAGGAGACCTACTTCAAGTCTCAGGTCTGCACTGTAGCCGAGCCTTAGACTATATGTATTTGCCTGCTCTGGATGATATTGTTCTCTTAGTGCTGAGTTTAAATCGTCTGATGCCGTTTGTGTGAGTGAATTGTCAGCACTTTGACCGTGTCCATCCATATTACAGTCAGAATGGAGAGAGGAAGTGAAGAAACATTTTGAGAAGATCAAAAGCGAAGGCACCTGCATCCACAGGCTGGATGAAGAGCTGATCCGACGCAGGCGGGATGAACTCAGGTGTGTAAGAAAGGAAAACCAGAGAGATGTGACCTAATTTCATAAAAATGTTGCCTGTTGATGGCGTGGATTATTTCTGCCTGTCAACAACAAGTAAACAAATGCTGCAGCACAGGGATACTCGATTCGCTTTTGCCCGGGGTCCGCCAGTTAATAAACAAACATTAATAATAATTATCAGATAAAATGAATAAACATTAGGATTGTTGATGTAGCAGTATAAGACAACCTCGCTTTTCTTGTAGTGCTACCAGACAACTTCCCATTTAACAGCTCTGGGACATTATTGAACATTTACTAACTGGTATAAACAAACAAATTATCTATATGAATGAATTTATTTTCATTATGAAATAGAAAATGGTTGTAGGGCCACCCTATCCCAGGCAAGATTTGACTAAAGTTGCTTATCACTGCTGTAGCACCTCCATTACCATACAGATAAATTATTACCTTAGAATGTATCAGAAAGATATTGTATGATAGACAATCGTGTATTTTAATGGCAATTTAATTATTTTTGCATGGATTTGTTCCTTTAGAGTGAGTGATGTGGTTTTGAAAGTGGTTGTTGGAAGTAAACATTTGTTTGCATTTCCTGTGCTCTTCCAGGCACGCTCTGGACATCCGGGAGCACTATGAGAGGAAACTGGAGAGAGCCAACAACCTCTACATGGAGCTCAGTGCCATCATGCTACAGCTGGAGGTCCGAGAAAAGGAGCTAATGAAGTAAGTAAATATACTATTTATTACAGTAATCATCAGCTAACTTCTTAGACCTAGCTTTTTGTTCATTTGTTCCTTAAACTGTCACTTTAAGACCTGAATTCACAGACATGTAACTAGATTTGTAAATTTTACTTGAATTCTGTCTTGTGTGTATAACTCTCTATAGAACTGAATGTGAATATGTTTCACTGTCATATAACTTCAAACTAATTCAGCAATCCCTGCAGGAGAGAGCAGGCAGTGGAGAAGAAATATCCCGGGACCTACAAGCGCCACCTGGTCCGACCAATCGTCAGGTCCAACGCTGTAGAGAAGCTCATCAAGAAGAAAGGAAGCATTTCCCACAAACCTGGGATGCCCCCTACCAAAAGGTAGGAAGCTTAGCTGATGGAACAGCTTTGTTGTAAAAGAAACTATTATTAGCATTTAAGTTCATTTAGATGGGATTTACATTAATTTCTCTGTTAAAGTGACAATTCTCAGATTATTTACTGTACTGTTGAAGCCAGTCTCATTAGCAGACATTGGCCATACATTGTTAGAATAAATGAATTAAGATATATTAGGTTAACGCTGCTAAATGCTTTTCTCACAGGCCAGACTTGCTTCGTTCTGATGGGATCCCCAGCGTTGACTCTCTCCCCTCCCCCTCGCCACTATCAGCCAGCCCGAAGGTCTCCACACCTCCTGGTAAAGCCCGCTACAGAAGCAAGCCTCGTCACCGCCGCGCTAACAGTAAAGGAAGCCACAACGAGTTCCCCGGGCTGCTGAAGCCTATCGCTGGGGCACTAGAAGATACCCAGTGTCTTCAGGAGCAGCATTTCCACCATCACCACCACCACCCACCAACCGTGGGGCCCTTCCTCCCCTTGAAGGGCCGCGAAGAGGCCGTTGTTAATTGTGCCAATAACCTGCGCTACTTCGGCCCCGCCGCTGCCCTCCGTAGCCCTCAGACAGACCACCTGCAGCGCCGCGTTTCCGGCTCCAACCCTGACCTCATATCCACCGCCGTGGATGCAGACACGCGGCAGCGGACTTCATCCATCAGCTCCAATCCTGTCCCCGGTGCTGGTGCTGGTTCTTTATGTCCCTGCTGCCAGGCTCACCCCTTCCCTGGCTGCCTACACTGTCAGGAGACCCCTCCTCCATCAAACCACCCAGAGTTGTCCCACTACTCACTGCTCAACACCCAAGAAGGTACCCCCTCTTCTTTAGGGGCTCCCAGCAAAGATCAAGCCTCAGACGGAGAGGCCATAAAAAAGGCCGAGCCACAGGAACAAGAGGCATGCCAACACACTCACGCCCTGCCCACTGCACTGCCCCGCACTCTCAGACCTCTCAGGAAGGTGAGCACAGCTTGTAGCCTTAAACCAGTGAGTCTGTAGTAGGTGTTTGTGTCAAAGAAACTATGAAAGATGATGGATTAACAGCTGTAACTGCTTCGTTTACAGGGTGGCGATGAGTCATCTGAAGAGGAAGAGGGGGAGGTTGATAGTGAAGTGGAGTTTCCAAGGAGACAGAGGTAAAAATACAGTTTGCCACCTTGATCTTCACTTCACTGTGTTGTAACACTGTTACATCATGTGGTGCAATACAAGAAATTAACAAACCATTCACCAAACCAACCAAAATAATCATTATAATTTGAAATATTGACGTCTCCCAAATACAGTGAACCAGTCCCAAAGGTAACTACTGGATGTAATTTTGTATTCCTCTGCTCCCTCACAGACCTCACCGCTGTATGAGCAGCTTCCAGTCCTACTCCACCTTCAGCTCAGAGAACCTGTCAGTGTCTGATGGAGAAGAGGGAAACACCAGCGACCACTCCCACAGCGGGCCCCTGGAGAGGCTGAGCGCCAGCCAGGAGGAGCACCTGGATGAGCTGCTGTCGCACACACCAGACATCCCCATCGACATCTCCACCCAGTCGGACGGCCTCTCTGACAAGGAGTGCGCCGTCCGCAGGGTGAAGACCCAGATCTCTCTGGGAAAACTGTGCTCTGACGAACACAGCTACGAGGTCAGTACTGCGGATGTGTGTGCCCCCACCAAGTTTTGTTCAGTCTTTCCACCACTTCAGTAAAACAAAGCATCAACAAATCAAATTTGCTAAATATGTTAGGCTTTATTTTCCACCCCAAAAGTCCACGCTCAGATTATAAAATCAATATAGTAAAGATGTTGCCCTTATCCTGGATATGTGCTGATGTTTCTGTCTCATTTTTCTCCTAGAATCCGCTACAGTTTGGCGACTCAGACTGCGATACATCAGAAGCAGAGTGCTCCGATGCCACCATTAGAAACAACAAAGTCGGGGCTCCTTCCTCATGGTGAAACCTCCCCCAGGGCTTGGTTCTGTTTTTGCCTGGAGGCCATCGTGTCCCACTCTGCCCTGCAGAAAATACAGCAATAAGAGGACGACATTGTAAACAAAGCTCCCTATAGCAAAGCCCCATGCAGTCTCTCCCAGAACCCCCCTCCACCCTTACCCTTCCCTTTCACAAAACCCAATCTTCCCTCATCTCTAGCACAGCATCCGGGCAACCCATGGCAGGGATTCCCTTTTGAATGATAATGTACAGTCGATAGTGTAACATTCATAATTTATTTTTGTCTGAGTTTTGAAGGAAAAATTCAGGACTTCTTTATGTTCTCTGATCCAAACAGAGGAAGAAAAAAAAACCCAGACATTTTGATACTGAGCATGGGCTTAACTGTGTGTTGGGGAGAGGCTGAGATTGGATGAAGATGCAGATGGTGATGATAATGATGATGATGATGATGAGAAGGAGGATGTGTTCGAGTGCTGATGTACACCGAGGTTGACAACTAGCAGCGTGGAGTTGCATCACTGCTGTTGTCGGTCTCTCAGGTGACTGACGCAGACTGGGAGCGTCGCTACAAGCCTTTTGATCTGGCTACGGTTGCTTTTCAGCATCTTACCGTTTTAGACTGAAGTCCCCAACCAACCATACAAGGACTCCCTCTTACTAAAAGTAAACCCAACCTGCTTTATCATGAGTTTACAGTGCAGAGCCCCAGTTGCCCCACGCCTCCCTCCACATCGACCCTGCCCTCTATCATAGTGAGTGGGGAACAGGGAGCTCATGAAAACAGTGTGAACACCAGCATGAACCACCTGCCTCGCAACCGGACCGCCCTCACCCTCTCCCTCTCGCTAGAGCCACCACATGTGTCTAGTCATCAGGATCCCACGCTGAACTGTCCTAGCATGCCTGTGCAGCTCGCAGAAAATGCAAAAAGCTGCCGGAAGACTGCATGAAGTGGACAAGCCAGCAGACCAAAAGAGATGAAGACTCGGCTGATGGCTAAGGAAAAGAATTAAAACAAAAACAAAAAAATGAGACTCTTCCTCTGTGTCCCAGCTCATCCTTTCCTCCAAGACACGCCAATGTCATTGTCATCATCAATCAGATGTCATGACCAGAGTTGTTGAGGGAGTTATCAGAGTGTTTGTGTGTGTGTTTGTGTGTGTGTGTGTGTGTGTGTGTGTGTGTGTGTGTGTGTGTGTGTGTGTGTGTGTGTGTGTGAACACAAAAAAGCCCTTTTTCCTCTCCATTAGACATTACAGTTTCAAGTCTCATCTCAGGATTGTTCGAGGACTGTAAGAAACTGGACTGGACCAATTATTGTATGTAGGAGTCTTCTTTGAGCGGCACATATTACAGACCACGCAGGAACATTAAAGAAGGTCTTGCAGATAGCCTTGATGTTCAACCCATTATTGCTGTAACGGACATTAAAGTTATGTAGACATGTAGAGCGTTTTTTTAGTTGCAATCCAGGTGCAGTATCCCATTTCTTGAAATCACTAGGTGCAGCGTCTCCAATGTACCATTTTCTAGCAGGGTAATTTATACTGTCTAATAAGCAATGTCCAAGAATGCTCATTGTTCTTCTGTGCTGTAGTGAATAAAACAGCAATAATGTACTGTAGGTCGACCCTCAGGTGAGAAATGGGAGTTGCTTGCTCAGGATCCGGGGCGTCTAGCTGGCTAGACACAATATTGTGACTGGTGGCTAGAGGAGAGCAGCAAGTGTCCAAACAGCTTATTATAGATGCTATATTTTTAAATTGTCCCATTTTTTGTGAACTTGCCTTTCCAGAGATTGATGCTCAGGTTTTTATGTTGCCGATTGACAGCAGGAGCAATATATCAACAGCCACTAGATGGCGACAGTTACAATGACTTACTTCTCCTTGTGTTATGTAAATGTCCTGGTTCGATTCCTTCTTTTCAACACATGGTAATTTATGTCTCCTATGACCATCCAAATCCAAGAATCCCAGCAATATTACTTATTTTTTTTGTGTGTCTTGTTGTCTTTTGAAAATGGATACTGCATCTGTGAGAGCTTTATTTCCCCCCCTGCCACCTGTAGAGTGTGTGTCGTCCACCTTTTAATGACTTAACGGTTGAAAATTAGCCAGCCAGGATTGAAATTTAAAGATAATGATGTCAAGACGTCAGCTGAAGTGTACACAGACGGCTGAGTTTCTAAGTTAGGAATATAAGCCAGAGACCACAAAAGGCCACAGAGCAAATTTAGCTGCTCTTGGTTTTTCAAACAACCTCATTTCAGTGTTAGTTACTCCTGTATATAAACACCTGTAAATGTAATGTAACCCCGTTTTTTGTCCTCTCTCTTTTAACGTATCGCACAGCAGGGCGAGCTGCTGTCACTGATGAGCAGCCGGCTGGTTGAAAATGAGCAGAATATATCTGTATTACATCAGTATTGATCACCGCAGGAGAGGGTGTGAGTCATAAGAACAGAGTAGCACAAGGTGAATCTAAAACTGTACTGATGGATCAATTATCTTTTTGTGCTTGAAAAAGGCTTACACCTGGTACTGAAAGCAGCTGCTGCCTCTCCTCGACCTTTTCTTCACTCATGTTTACGTACGTGTGAAATAACCTAGTGTATTGTAACGACTGGGTAATCCGATCAAGCTGTTAATAACATTGTCTATCTGGCATATATCCTGTGAAGTATGATTGTTGTAAAGTTTTAATTTAATTTTGATTCTTTTTTTTTTGTAGCTGGCCTACATGATTATTGAATTAATTTATTATGAATGACTGGTAAAGGTGCGTTGTTCTTTTTAATTTCAGGCAGCTTTAGAAAAAAATGTCATGACCTATGATTTCTCCTGGAAAGTATTATTTAAAAGGAAGCACAATGAATTGGTATGGGAAGAGGACAGTATTTGTATGATAGAACAAAAAAAGCATTGTCATATCACATTAATCTGGATTTCTTTTTTTTTGTTACCTTTTGTGACCCTGCAGAGGGGGACCATTCGTTATTTAGATCAGCATTGTGGATGAAGCATTGATTTTAACAGACTTTTCATCAGTAATTAGCAAACAGGTGTTTCCTAAAAAGCTTTTTTATCTCGACATAGGCTATAGGGAATCACTTGTAGTACAAACCAAAAGCCAGTCAGTAGACTGTCAAAGCAGGGTAAAATGAGACGTTATGTCTGGAGGCACGTGTCATGCCAATTTCTGTACTTCTGCAGAAATCCCTTCCTCTCATTTTTAATCATAAAACACACCAGTTACTTACATTTGAATTTCTGTGAAATTGTCTAAAACTGTGGACATCATGTTGCCTCATCCCACGTATCAAACATCTGTTTCTTTGTTACTCTCATTTCCATCTCCCTTTCCTGTTGAATGGCATTATGATCAACCAATCCTGTCAGTTTCCTGTATTATCCAGTGTACAGTGCAATGGGTATCTGGGAGAATAAAATCTGAGCAAACAACTGTGCATGGAATAAATGCTGATGTACTGTACCCAAAACACAGCTGTCCGTCTCTTCTGTGACACAATAGAGTCGAGTGTTGGTTTTCATCTCATTAACTACGCCCATAATTTATATTAATTTATGGATTTAATGAGTTTTAGTGAAGTATGTAAGTTTTGTAGATCCTACAGTACCTGTTGTCCAATGGTTTTATTTAACATACCAACATAATATGAAACACAGGAGGATTTTAGAAGTAATGAGGTTGTAAAAATATATTTTTCACATCATATTTATCTTTTTAACAGTTACTGCAAATTGTATCTCCCTACATAAAGATTTGTATCAAATGCTTCTCCAAACTTTCAGGAATTTGGTGTGAGATCAAATTAACACCAGTCACATTTAAAGATATTGATTCAAAATAATAAATATAAATTAAAAAAACCCCACCATGTAAGTTAGCTACATGATGTCTGTAATTGTTTGTGTAAACTCCTCAAATTGCTTAAACACACAAATACCCCAAAGCAATATGGAGGAGATGACTGACAGCTACTAGTAGCTCTGATATGAAATTAAAAATTAAAATCTTAATAGTTTTTAAAACCTGTTGTCAGTGTTGTTGACTTTGCACTGACTGATATAACGTTAGAACTTAAAATGTAGGAAATTACTGAATTAGGCTATGATGATGATAATAATAAGGTAAAAAAAAAAAGTATACTATTTTAAAGTTATGCCTTATTTAGAAACTTACTTTATGTAGCTTTTGTTCTACATTTCCAAATAGGTCTTCTGGTTGTTACGTAAATGTTTCTATAACTTAACGTTAAGTAATTTCAACCTGTTGAAATACGTGCTGAGCTTTTCCTGCTGTTATATGAACCCTCGGCGCTCGGCGAGCGGGCGGAGTTAACGTTGTAAGACGTGCTGACGCTGGAGCGGACTTCTAACCGGACGGTGCGGGTAGATAAAATCAACGCTCGCTGTACTCCACCCTGCGAGCGCCTATCCGTTGGACCAGAGGGGGGCGGAGTCAAACTCTGAAGGAGCGTCACAGCGGTTACGTATCACTGAGGTCTTTACCTGCTGTGTGAACGAGGAAGCGACATCTGGAGAGGAGGGGTGTGAACACGGAGTTAGCCAACAGTTCAACCACTTTCTGCTCGTTAACCGACATTTCTTCACGTTTTTCGGCCCAGTTTGTAAACCGAGCGGGTCAAAATGTCTTCGATGGACTTGGAGAAGCTGAAGATGACGGGAGCCGGGCGGGCCATAGCGGTGCTGACCAGCGGTGGAGATGCACAAGGTGACTTTAAAGTCAGCCAGACTGTCAGTAAAGTGCAGTGAGGGGCTTTAAATGCACGTTAATATTAAGATATATAGTGTAAGAAGTGTTGGCTTAAGAAGGAAGTAATGGTAGTTTGTTTATGAAGAGTTGAGTGAACTAATTTATAGTCAGCAGGGGTCAAAGGTCGTGAATAGGCTGCATACAGTAATTTCTCTTATACACCCAAAACTTTATGGATGTATAAGGTATGTATGAAGTAACTAAATACACTCACTCAAGTACTGCATTTAAGTATAATTTAAGGTAGTTGACAGGGGACTGCGTATAACAAACATACATTTCAGTACTGGAGATATATCTAATGTGGGCAGGTGGAACAATAATACAAACAGCATATACATTACATTCAACATGTAACATGAAATTACATGCACAGTGCATTTCCTATGCATTTTTATATGTAATTGAAAGTAGCTCCACCTTTACCAGCTGCAGTAAAGTGAAGGGCACATTAATGTGTCCGTAATCATAATCCAATAATTAAGTACAATACATTATTCTGAAATGGGTCATTATGCATATTTTTCGGTACTTTATTTTGATACTTTGATACTTTTACTTGAATGCATGGCTTTTACTCACAATGGAGTACTTCTATGCTGTTACTGAGTGCTTCTTCCACCATTGGTAGCTCATGCAGTGTCATGTAACGCCTATAAAGGACTGTGATTACTGCCTCCACAGAGCAGGTGGCACCTTTGCCCAACGAGAGATAATGAAGTAATATATCCACCATAGTGTGTTTGATTTCCTCATGCAGAGTTATGGTGCAACAACTTGTGTGTAACGACTTGAGAAGCAGAGGTGATGCTAATATGTTTGTGCAACTGTTCTTGATCAAGGGATGAATGCTGCCGTCCGAGCTGTGACCAGAATGGGCATCTATGTGGGGGCCAAGGTCTATCTTATTTATGAGGTAAATAGGCTGTTTTGTATTAATATGACCCCACTAAACACGCACATTCTTCTTGTCATTGACGTACAATTTGGAAATGACCACTTTTCAGGGATACCAAGGCCTGGTGGATGGGGGAGACAACATCAAACTGGCCCACTGGCACAGTGTGACCAACATCATCCAACAGGTAGGTTAATATATTGTTGTCAGCAGGGGTAAAGGTAGCTATAAGAGGCCTTTTTCACAGCAGACATTGTCACACTAGTAAAAGCACAGGTGTTACTAATAACATTGTTGTTCTATTCAGGTGTCCCAGTAACAGGCTATGTTATAAACACAATAGCAGAACCATCACAGCTTTTATTATTTACACCTGTCACAATCTCCTCTGTGAAAAGGCTTATTGTACCTTAATTATACAATTATATTATGATTGAGGATTTTTGTCTTTTCTCTCTGGTATTAAATCTCTCTCTCTATTTCTCTTTCTTTTTATGGTTTTAATAGGGATTTTTATTATTTCGTCCATCTCCTCTCATGTCTTCTCTCCCTGCCTGTCTAATGCAGGTTTTAACCCGGTAAGGGGCCTTGCTGCATGTGATTTAAACCTTATCAGTTGAAGAAGCAGCAAGTTGCACTGTTCAAAAGAAAATTACAAGCAATCCCACTGACCTTTTTGCATTAGTAATCTTGAATTTATGCAACAAATGTGTCGAAGGGCATGTGCTCCTTTTTCTAAAGCAAATCTGTTATTGTTGTGTTTAAACTATATTATAGTATCCTGTACCAAGATGTCCAGATTTTGTTTGATGCTGGTTCCTGACTTTTTTTTTGCTCTTGGCTAATTGATACAAAGCAATGTCTACTTGCCAGCTCCTGTCTCAGGGTTCATGTTTATTCAATTTCAGTAGTCACATGTTTTGACTACTTGTGATCTGGTTCTGTTTTAATTCCCTTTTCACATTTAATCTAATCTGAAACGTCCATCTCAGATATTTGACATATCAAACAATGAGCCAGAGCAAAGAGAAACGTCATTCAACGTGATGGTTTCTCTGTGACAGATTACAACGTCCTGTTTCTCTTGATCTGGTTTATGACTTGTTATATGACTGCAGGGTGGAACTGTGATAGGTAGCGCCAGATGCAAGGCCTTCACAACTCGTGAGGGCAGACTTGCCGCCGCCTTCAATCTGGTAAAGAAAGGCATCACCAACCTGTGTGTGTGCGGCGGAGACGGCAGCCTCACCGGAGCCAACCTCTTTCGCACCGAGTGGAGCAGTCTGCTGGAGGAGCTCGTACAGAAAGGTTAAAAGCTTTTAAGAAACCACTGTCGAACTGTCACTGAGCCTTAAAAAAAAATGTACCCTTGTTTCATGTCAAGCCTCCTGATTTATGAATCATTCTCTAGCTCGTTCTGTATTAATATGAATATTATTTCCTTTAGCTTTGGCGTATTAATAGTAAACTAATAGCATAACTACAACAGTGTCTCTGTATGTGCACGTGTGCCACTTCAGGAAGGATCACAGACACTATGGCCAAGCAGCACAACCACCTGAACATCGTGGGGCTTGTTGGCTCCATCGACAACGACTTCTGCGGCACTGACATGACCATTGGAGCTGACTCGGCACTGCACCGCATCATGGAGATAATTGATGCTATCATGACGACGGCACAAAGGTCAGACGCTGTGTGAGACTGAACAGTGGCAGCACTGAAGCAGCTGGTGTTTCATCAAAGCAATTATTATGAGGAATGAATTTTAATTCCCTCAGTTAAAAAGTGCTGTGTGTAACATTTATGGGGATCTATTAGCAGAAATGGAATATAATATTCATAGGTATATTTTCATTAGTGTATATTCACCTGAAAATAGGAATTTATCTACAGAGGGAGTGGGTCTTCTTTTACGGAGGCTGCTATGTTGAACTGCCAGATTTCAACAGTAACCCAGAATGGACAAACCAAACACACCTTTCGCGTTTTTTTGCCAGTGTCACTGTCACTGTAGTTTTTCCTGCACGCTGAAGGCTGAGCTGTACTCAGCTGGTTGCAATCTGCAACTTCACAGCTAGATATAACTAAACTGATTTGATTCTATTCTTTGTATAAGACTGCCGCTGAAGCAATACAGTTGATTAATTGATTAGTCAAAGTAATTGGCAACTATTTGGTAATCAGAAAATGCAAAACATTCTCAAACTCCATCTTCTTAAAGTGTGGATTTTCTGCTGTTATTTGTCCGATACAGTATTATATCTGGGGTCGGACTGTTTGGACCAAACATGGAATTTAAAGTAGTCACCTTGGACAGAGCTATAGAAAATGATTAATGATGAATTGTAATTGAAATTGATTTGATTTATTGTTAATGGAATGCAATCATCTAAGCCAATTTTTTTTATTACCCCACTCCCCCATTCAAGCCTGTCTGGCGTGATTTCTATGATCTTGTCCAGACTTGCTCCCTTGGATCTCAGCATGCTGCAGCAATCCAAAAATTCTCCATTTGTGTGCTCACACAGTTGCTGCAAATGTTTATTAGCTTGTTTCACTATAAATGTTGTGTCTTCCTACAGCCACCAGCGCACTTTTGTTCTGGAAGTCATGGGGCGACACTGCGGGTGAGTAACACTCTGGCCCAGTTTGCTATCCTCATTCCACTGCCACTGAATAAAACAAATTACTGTGCTATTACTCCAGATATCTGGCCTTGGTGTCAGCATTGGCATCTGGGGCAGACTGGCTCTTCATTCCAGAGGCTCCTCCTCAGGAGGGCTGGGAGGACCGTATGTGTGCCCGCCTAGAAGGGGTAAGACACAAAAACTACTGTATGTATTCACAGGAGATCGGTTTTGAAGTAAGAGAAATATAGACATACTCTTTGGTCTACAAGTATTTCAGAAATAGAGGAGGCTGAATTGTCTCTCCTAAAATACAGTGCAAGACAGCGCGTACTGACTTGCTGGCTAATATGTATCTGTTTACCTCCAGAGCCGCATAAAGGGGTCAAGACTCAACATTATAATCGTTGCAGAAGGAGCCGTCGACATACATGGAAAGCCCATCCCCTCAACTTATGTAAAAGATGTAAGTAAAAAAATGTAAGGACTAGGGATAAGCAGTGTGGTTCAAATGAAGGATAGACCTTTGTGCTCTGTATCAACAGAGAATGCATTGTGATATTTGTGCCAGTTTTATCGATTTCTTGGTTGACAAGCCTGAAAGAGATTTCCTCTCAGATGTTTGTAAAGGACTTTTCTCTCATAGTCTCTCTCTGTTGTGTGTGTCTGCCAAATGACAAACCCAGAATACACTGAAATGCTGTCATGTCTTTATGTTTGAAGCTGGTGGTAAAGAGGCTGGGTTACGATACCAGAGTGACAGTACTCGGCCATGTTCAGCGAGGAGGCACTCCCTCGGCGTTTGACAGGATACTGGTGAGTTGAAAAAATTGCAGCTATGAGACATGAACAACATGTTGAGGCCATACAGATTGTCTATTACACCACTTCAATTGCTTACCATGGCCAGGGGAAATACTTGTTTCTGATTGGCTGGTTGGTGTTATATATATAATTATATTTTTATATATATATTCTGGTCAACACTACTGGTATCAATTCTTGACATCATTTATTGTGCCAGTAGATTTTAATCTAGTTAATTGGACCAGCACACAGAATACAAATAGATACATTGTCTTGGGAGAAATGTATCACTATGAATTAAATTATTACGCTTATATGTCATGGAATATATATCATTTTAATAGTTGAAAACAAAGTGTGAGGTGGGAGGAATGGTTGACCTTCTCTCTTACTCTTTCTCTCCAGATCTCTGGATTAGGGCGTTCCCATAGCTTGTAAACATGTAGTTAGTTTGAGCTTGTAAATATTTAAACAGTTCACTGGATCTTCTTCTTCCCTTTTTTCTAGATAAAAAAAAACTTCCTTTCGAGTAGGAGGAGATTCTCTCCAACATTCATCATGTATATATTTAAATGCACATGTATGGCCTCCCTTGTGTTTTCAGAGCAGTAAGTTGGGTGTGGAGGCAGTGATCGCCCTGATGGAGGCCTCTCCCACCACTCCAGCCTGTGCTATCGGCCTGTCAGGTAACCACCCTGTTCGTCTGCCTCTGATGGAGTGTGTGGAGATGGTGAGTCCCCTCGAATGTAATTTATTTTAATTGACATTCTCACAAACAGCGGGAGGTTGCTATAATTATCTTTCGACTGTACTATCATTGGCAGACTAAGCTGGTGCAGACGGCCATGAACGAGAAGAGGTTTGATGAGGCTATTAAACTGCGTGGAGGGTGAGAGCATTTTTTCTTGTATATTATTTATGATATACTATTATATTATAATGCAAAATTGCCTTAATGTGTGTCAACAAAGTTTTGTAGGTCTCTTGTAAAGGTATCATCCATTCATATTATTTTTAATCAGGCACATGATTTAATGATCTTGTTTTTTTCTGTGCAAATAATAAAAAAAGAAGCTAAAAGTAAAGATTTTCCTGCAGGAGTTTTGAGAACAACTGGAACATCTACAAGCTTCTTGCCATCCAGAAACCTTCCCAGTCTAAGGTGAACACACATACATACACACACACAACACCACACACACACACACACACACACACACACACACACCATTTTAGCCTTAACACAGGTAAAACTGTTACAAAAGTTAAACTCAGATGAGCTTATAAATATCTGACTCATGTTCTCCCTCAGAGCAATTTCTCTTTGGCTATCCTGAACGTGGGCGCTCCGGCTGCAGGGATGAACGCAGCAGCGAGGTCTGCAGTGAGGTTAGCGCTCGCACATGGACACAAAGTCTACGCTGTCCAAGATGGCTTTCAAGGACTTGCCAAAGGAGAGGTGAGGGCTTCTACCTCTACATGTTTACCTCACTGGGGTAGATTTTAGCAACCCATGTGAGACTGAGAGAAAACTGTTCAAAGCTGACACCTGTCTGTCTGCAGGTTTTTGAGATGGAATGGCACAGTGTGGCGGGGTGGACGGGCCAAGGGGGCTCACTGCTGGGGACAAAACGGTGAGCGACAGGACACTTTGATTTCTATGATATGAACATATTTAAGTTATCATAAGAGTACTCCAACAGACAGATAAATGTAACTACAATTAGACAATATGACAACATGTACTATGAGACACCATTTACACTGTGTTAAGGATCCCGGTCATATTCCAGAGTGTATTAGCCATCGAAGGAAATGTAGAAAATCAATATGCAATTATCATTTCTGGGTCAATGTGATAATGTGCCAGCTATTTAGTTTGCTAGATTAGAGAAAACAGACATTTCTGTCCAATTATAACATCCATTATAATATTTTCTCAATTGATTTTTCATAAAATTGATTATATTATATCACATATGATGTTGTTTCGATATCCCAATTTTTTTATATACCTAATTATCTATACTGTGATTTTACAGGATTTTATCAACACGACCCAAACTGCATCTTACAGTTCTCATAATTCAACTCAATTTCTTCTTTTCATAGACCTTCCCACCCACATATTTCAAATTCAAGGGCCCGTGTGTAATACAGATGGTACAGAGGATGAGTAATTTCTCAGAGTGCCTTTTTAATTGACTTTTAATTTCTGTTTCATGTCCTCAGAACTCTTCCAAACAAGCACATGGAGAAGATTGTGGAAACCATCGCCAAATTCAACATCTCAGCTCTGCTTGTCATTGGAGGGTTTGAGGTATAGAACAAGACACAACCCTTCAAAGATCCAGAGCAGAGCAGATACCTGCTTGTATATTAATTTACAGTGTCAATGTTACATCAAAGAGGTCTTCAGTCTTCCTCTTGGTGACTTTCAAAGGGGTACGAAGGTGTGCTGCAGCTGTTTGAAGCCCGGAGTCGCTATGATGAGCTCTGCATCCCCATGTGTGTAATCCCTGCTACCATCAGCAACAACGTCCCTGGAACTGACTTCAGCCTGGGAGCAGACACCGCTGTCAATGCTGCCATGGAGGTAACGCTGAGCAGATGGAAAATTAACAGTGTCACTTTGATGTTTCAGGATTAACATGAATACAGACTGAACCGAGCCTAAGATAGACTTTGAACTCTGCATATTTAGAACAGGAGTGACAGCGAGTATTCAGGGATTTAGTTTTTATATTAAGCTCCTCACCTGGAAAAAACACATCAACAACACACCAGCCGTGTATTTGTCTGTCTAAAGTACTGTACAGGTGAGGGTTAATTCGGAGTAAGTTAAAGTTGACTCTCTCCACTTCCAGATGCACTTTTGATCTTTACCCACCCATCTTCAATTACCACTGTCCCCTTTCACTCTGCCATTTCGATTTTTTTATTCTCCAGGGCTGCGACAAGATCAAGCAGTCTGCCACTGGGACCAAAAGACGAGTGTTTGTGGTGGAGACTATGGGTGGATTCTGCGGCTATCTGGCAACCTGCACTGGAATAGCCGTGGGTGCTGACGCAGCATACATCTTTGAAGACCCTTTCAACATCCACGACCTCAAGGTACGACCAAAAAACAAACCTCTGCTGTTTCTTGTCTATGATGTTTACAGCTTTCTGTTTCTTTAATAATCTGGCCTTTTGACAGACCAATGTGGACCATCTAACTGAGAAGATGAAGAAGGACATCCAGCGGGGGCTTGTATTGAGGTACGTAACGCTAATGTAGCCTTACAGTGATTCTCATGCAATGCTAGTTGCAGAGGCTAATGAAATCATCTACTTTCCGGCTATGCTTTTTCTAAGATCATGTTAACTATTGTTATATGGCAGTATGCTATCTGTAGTAGGCATATAATTCAATTTCAAGACCGAAAGTCAACAGTCAAGCTAGCGACTCTATGAAGCTGTACTTACTTAGGCAAGGGGTATTGGGCTAATGCTTAGATCAGCGTGCTCAATATTACAGTACAGTTTTGTACTAGACACCGCTGAGTATGATGGGAATGTTTTTAGTTTGCAGTCATATATCAAACAATTGGACAAACTGGGCATTTTGACTAGATTATGGAGCTTTAGGACTTGGGTTGGATGATTTAAGCAGTAGGACTTTGCTGAACAAAAAAAATACTAAAAATCGTAACTATTTGATGTCAGCAAAATATTCAAAGGACATACTACACATATTCCCTTGTTGGTTGTTTTCTGTCATAACAGGAATGAAAAATGCCATGAAAACTACACTACAGATTTCATCCATAAACTGTATTCATCAGAGGGGAAGGGCGTCTTTGACTGCAGAGTCAATGTGTTGGGACACCTTCAGCAGGTACAGAGCCACCATACAAGGTCCATCGAATCTACAGTGACACTCAAACACTGTGAAGAGACAGTCTTGCATTATATACTAAGCTTGTGTGTTTGTGCTTCAGGGAGGGGCACCTTCTCCCTTTGATAGAAACTTTGGCACCAAGTTGGGCGTGCGGGCTGTCCAGTGGATTTCAGAGCGACTGACTGAAAACTTCCGACAAGGTAGACTCACTGTGAAAACCCACAGTGAACGGAAATAAATTGCTTAGAAATCCAAAGTCAAACCAGACCGATGTTGCGATTACACATTTTTTCCCCACCAGATCGCGTGTTTGCCAACTCACCAGAAACAGCATGTGTGCTCGGCCTCAACAGGAAGGTCATCGCTTTCAGCCCAGTCACTGACCTGAAGGCTGAGACTGATTTTGAGTAAGAAAATGTATTTTTTTTGTTAAATAACAAGTGTTCATTATTATTAACATTAACGTCTCAATAACACGTGAATGACGTCTTTGTTTTTCAGACACCGGATGCCCAAGGTCCAGTGGTGGTTTAAACTTCGGCCGATGTTAAAAATGTTGGCCAAGTACCAAACGAGCTTCTGTGAATACGTCCCAGGAGAGATTGAACATGTGACTCGACGCTCCATCAGCATCGACTCTGGGTTCTAGGCTCTCTGAAACTGCAGTATATTCTCTGCACTTTTTAACCCTTATCTGCCCCTCCTTTGTTTCTACAGACTATACTCTAAGAATGATTTTCAATCTGTTGCTATGTGTGTTTACACGACTGAAGTCTTTTTAAAGCCAGCATTGATCTCAGTCTGTTGTAAGCGTCATAGTTGCTATAGTATGTTAAGAATGTAAAAATGTACTTCAAGTATTCATTTATTGAACGAGGCATTCAGTACAGATCAAGTTTTCCTATTCCTTGTGCCAGCTTTTGTATAGTCAAATCAGTCATAAAAAGACAATCAGAATTTGAATGTACTACTGAATATGTTATATAAAACAGATTTTATGCCGTGTGATTAGTTTCCTTCCAAAATTACACAGGTGAAATGCTCTAAGACAAATACTGAGCCAGAAATAATCTGATCAGGAGCATTAAGTAAAAGAGGTGTGTATATCCATGTTTTAACATGCTTCATTAGCTAAAAATAAGAGCTACTACAATTTGGAGCTCCTCTATAATTTGCACAAAAATTTAACTTTGAATGCTCCAGTGGTTGATTTGACTTCTGGTTCATATTTAACTCGCTTAATGTCAGAATGTGACTCATGGGACCAGTGAGATGGTAGTTTTCTTTTATTTAAACACTGTGTATGACTGAAACACTGCATCTGTCATTAATTAATGCAAACTCAAGGAATCACAAAACATTAGTGCAGTTTGTAACACTGTGTAATAAAGTTTGCAGCTACTGTTCTTACAACAGAGAAATATGAACGTATGTTGTGTTATTATTTTCATACTAATGTTATATCTCCAATAAAATGTTATACATATGTTAACTGTAGTGTGAATAGCTATTGAAATAAGATAAATAAATACCAACCATTTAACAACATAAACTGACAAATGTATTAGAAAAGTCTTACATGACAAACATTAGCTTTTTAACTGCTGAAGTTTTATAATGGTGTTGAACTATGACCCCTTTCCTAAGATATTTATCATGAACCCACTTTATGAGAAAATTACAGATGAAAATGGGTCACAAACTGGTCTTACAAACAATTATTCAGCATTTCAGATGTTTTTCTTATACCTCAAAAGTTGAATGAAAATGGAAAATCATCCCTGGTGTTATCTTTGTCAGTTTTCGGAGGGCTCTTGGCATTGAAGGCAAACTCAAAGTCTTCACTTTGCTCTGGTTGGCCAAACAGGAACTCGGCTGCAAAATCATAAACAAGCCTGTAGTTCAAAGCCGGTGACACACAAATATAAAGAGATCTGATGTGATACTTACAGGTTGAAGACTTTGATTCCGTGTTTTTCTGAAAAGAGATGAATATAGTTTGGTATTTTTATACTAGTTAAACTATATAAAATATAGGTGTAGTAAAAAATATAGTACCTTCTCGCTAAAAAAAGAGCCACTGAAAGCAAAAGATGAGTCCTGTAAAAAAAGAATTGGAGGTAATTCCTTGACTAAGAAACCATGATTGATGTTAAATCACTTATTTCTTTTGGTCACTCCTTGCCTCGTCCTGTGACGAGCCCACGTCAAATCCAAATCCAGGGAAGCCTGGGGTGCTAGGATCGGCGTTCAGGGAGAACAGGAAAGCTGGAGATTTGGTATCAGAGGTCCCTTGATGTGGGGAGCTGCCAGGGCTAAGGCTGAAACGGTAACATCAAAACATAAAGCCCAAAACATAGTTCTCAGAAGCTGTCAGTGACAGTGATTCCAAGTGTTGGACAACTCAGACAAGGCCTTACTTAAATGGGAATGTTGCAGTTGAAGGCACAGCTTTCACTGTTTCTGGGGAGGACTCAGGGTTAATCTCTTGAGATGATGACTGAGGAAAAGCAGCAAGTTCCTCGTTGTCCTCTTTGCTTGGTAGCTGCTCTTCTATAGTTATTCTTTCCTCCACTGTCTCCTCAATGTCTGAGACAATAGACTGCTGTTCCTATACAGAAAACACCTTGAGTGTGAGAGCATTTTCAAGAGTGAAAGCCTCTGACACTGCATTTAATGTAGGGCACCGTGTCATTATTAATATGATTCATATGAAAAACCCTGCAATATCTCTTCTGTAAATACTCTCCAAATATTCAAACAACCTTGCAGTGAAGCATTTGTATTGCCTGTCCAGTTAAAACTTCAGATCTGTGGATTATTATCAATAACCTGATATTCATTCTAGAAAGAGATGCTGCTGAGTTCTACAGATGTAATACATTCATACTGTGAGAACCATAAAAGAGTACTCCAGTGAATTAATATTTCAGCTCCATAAAGTTGGAAAACTTGTGATAGACAAATTCTAAAAAAAGAGGCAAAAACGTCCTGACTTTTAATCCCTAGTATGGGTCAAACTCCAAAAACACTCTATCCTACATTTCCCAGACTCCAACTAAACTGTATTTTTCATTGGACCATCCAAGTCTGGTAAATGTTCAGGTATTTCAAACCCCATGGTTTAACTAGGTTTAGTTTTGAACCTAGTTGGGAGTATGCTCCTTGTAGCGTAAAAGTGTCCCATATTTAAAATGCCTTTCATCTCCACTGTTTTGGGGTGAATACATTAGTCTCAGTGGTGGAGATCTCACAACCAGTACCTGAAAGATAAAGTACACTACACAATATACCAGCAGGTGTAAGGCTTTTGGTAAACTGGAATTGAGAAGTGTCCATTTTAGGGTCAGTCTAGGTATAGTAGACAAACATAAGACCTGGTCCTCTGGTCCAGTTTCCTGGTCCTGCTCCTCAGTGTGCATCACATCTGGCTGTGTTTGTTCTGAAGAAATTTGAAGGATTTGATGTAACAGAAACATCCAAACATGAAAAACCGTGCCACGTGGTGTGTAAAGTGTTCACATTCACTGAAACACATATCAGACTTTCTTTTTCTTACCATCCAACGGTTGACATGACCACAGCCCATTGCTTGCTTCTTCTGCGAAAGGGCTGCAGCCTTTAGTATCCTGGACATTGTTTTCCTCACAAATCTCTTCAGTATTTGCCTCGACAGAAGTATTATGACCATTCTGCAAGATCTGTGGTGGTTAGTGGTTAGGACCGAACAGCTTCTACATCTCATTATTGCTAGAATTTTGTTAGCTTTACAATGCCAGTAGCACTGATGAGTGTATCCTACTACCTTTGTCTGGTTGAGATGAAGAGAGGAGATGTCAATGGAGGAATCCATTTCCTCCTCTGTCTGAGGATCTAATTGTTTCTCTGGTTCTGTTAGAAGCTGCTGGTCAAAAAAACTAGGAAGACAAGTTGACTCAATCAGAGAAAAACTGTGCTGGAAGTTATTATTCTATGTTATCTATAAGATTCAGTGAAAGATACCTGTCTGGTAGTTTCTCAGTGGAGGAAGAATTGACTGCTGGACCTGGTGAGACAGAAATTTAATTAACTGTATATAGAGCTGTAAATAATTCAGATTTACCTGAACAAGTTAGTTTATAAAAAGTGTATTACCAGTGAGATGGTCCACCTCCTTCTGTTTCACTGTTATTTGATCATCACAAGCCTTGATCCTAGACTCAATCTCCTCTTTTTCAGCCTGCAGCGCGAGAAGCTTTTGAGCGAGAGGATTTTGACAATAATACTCTTTATGAGAACTGAATATCTTGCGGTAGCTTGCAATTCTCTCTTCGTAGACTTCCCTTGTAACAGATGAAGAACAATTAAACTTTGTTTATGATTGCCCACAAAAATGTATTAAACGCAACAGCTAACTGAACCCACATGTCATGGTTGTAGCTGGCTTTTCTGCTCTCCAGTTCCTCTTTCAGTGTCTGCTCATACTGAAGAAGCAGGCTGTTAGTCGCCTTCATCCTAAAGTTACATAGACGGTAATATGAATATCCATACTACACTGCACTGCTGTTACATGTAAAATCTGATTATGTATCACATTGATCCATCGTGGTTTGGCCCATGTATTACCTAGTCATCATACCTTTTAGCATTTGCTTTATTATGTATCACAGTGTTCTGCTTCATCCTAATTTCTTCCTCAAGTTTCTTGGTGTTTCTGTGGATTGTTTCAATGTAAGACCTCCTCTCAGCAATGTCAACTCTCACAACTGTTGACAAAAACACTTGATGGACACCATTTCATGACATAAAATCTATGGCACACTATTTTATTCTTAGCCTTTCCAATTTTAAATAACTATTAAGGTTAGATTATTAGTATAAATTGTTAGACTTACCTTTAATTTGCTGGTTGATCTCATTCTTCCTTTGGGAAAGCTCTCGAGTTTGGAGAGCTATAAAATACAAAGGGCATTTATTTTATTTGAAAATAATTGTTATCTATATTTTAATTATTACTATTATTAGTATTACTAGTAGTAGTAGTAGTATGAAAGTAATAAGTAAAGTAATTATAACCTGAATTATTTTAAGTTAACTAACACCAAAACTAACTTCACTTAACATCCGTCAACGCTAACATTAGCTAAAACTTTACATAGTAAGCCAACACAGACAAAAAAAACATCCAAATATAGCTAAACAACAACAAACAACCTTTAATAAAACAATAACTGAACTCACCAAGCTGAAAGAGGAGGCTGTCGAGATTATTAAATGAGATCTGGTCGCCCATTTTAACCGCTAGCGTCATTAACGTTAACTAGCGAGCTACTGCCGTTGTCAAGGAGACGTTAGCAGACACACGTTCGTCCTTTCAACATAAAATAACGGAAATGTTTTATTTTTATTTATTATTAGCTTTTATTTACTTATTATTTTAATTAGAGAATTTAAGTGAAAATTAAATGGGAATGTTCCCTGAAGGTGACCTATATACTGGATCGTTAATCAATAACAGCAGGTGATATGATCAAAAGTTAGTAAAAAATTAATGAATAAATTATTTTTTTTTAATCTAGCACTTTATTACTTTATTTGTTTATTAATTCATGTATATGCTTACATAACATAATGCGACATATGGTCCATATAAATTGTGAAATGCTGTGTAACATTTTAAGTCATTAAACTAAGGGAATAATATTACATGCTTATACTACTACTTATAATAGTAATCACTAATAACATTTAATAAAAATACGCATATGTTATTTTAATTGTTTATTTTTTATGTATATATTTTATTTGTAGTTGACATATTGTATTAATTCCCAGATGTGCTTTTAATAAACATTGGTGGATTTTATTTTCTTTTTTCTCCCCCCCAACATTTTTTCCTGTTCACATGACTGCAGACAGTCAGGATCATGGATGGCTCAGGATTGGTGTGACAGAGGTTAGAGGGGCGGGTTTAGTGCTATTCTGGAAATCATTTTGCGTAGCGCATCTGTATCGGCAAAAAACAACAAAAAAAAAACCCAGCGCTGTGATGTGTGGGCTCAGCCAAATGAAGTGATTCATCCTCTCTCGGTACATGTTATATACCCCGCTGCTCGTCCAACCTATTTGAAAGGTAAGGTTTTAATTACAAGCGCAGTTCTAAGTCAGAGTACATGTTGTTCGCCGGCTGGCGTCTGCAGACAAAAGAGCGGACATGGGTGGGATTTAAATGGGAGGGGATCAGCTGTGTGAAGAATGGGTTGCATTGTCGACCCCCTCTTTTATTCAAAATTATGCATTTTTTAAGAAAATCCACTACAATTTATGTATGGATTTAGTAGTTTGTATTTGTCTGTAAAGGGGATGGGATTATCCACTGAGGGTACCGCTGCGCTGTCATGCAAAAGAGAGACAGCCCCCCTCCTCCCCTTTTTTTTGTACAAATCTA